CAATCAGTCTGAAAGTGAACCGAAGACCAACGTCTCTCTCACATCCAAGACATAGCCCAAAGGAGACACTCCATCTCGGCGTGAAGGGCCGAAAGGCTTCTGTGGCATCCCTGAAGACCAAAGATCTCCTTTCCGCTAACATCCTCCAAACTCCATCCAAGACCGCTAATTTGCCCATGATTGATCCAAGAAGCATCAATCCGGAAAATCGGGATTGGTGACATTCCAAGGGGGGGTATCAGAGATGGTGGAGTGACTGCAGGCACAGTTAGGTCGTCCTCCTCCTTTTCTGGCTGGTTTGCGATTCTCCAACACTCGGCTTCCACCTTTGCGTGGGACAAAGTGTCTTCAAATTTCCTTTCCGTTGAAGACATTGTCATTTCTCGCTTTCCAAATAAACCATAAGATCCAAGGATATAAATCCTTTTGTGGATCTGTCATGCCTATCTCTTTTGTTTTCCAAAAGAGAAAGCTCATATTTTGATAAATAGAAGTACTCGGGAAGTAGCCCGGAAGGGACGGAAAGTCCGATAACGCCCAGACTTGTAAAGCCAGGGGACATAAAAATAAGAGATGGTTAGTGGATTCCTCGTGGTCCCCACAACGGGGGCACCTCTTGTCAGAGCCCAAATGTCGATAAGTAAGATTCTGGCATATCGCCACGCATCCTGATAGTGCTTGCCACATAAAATGCTTCATCTTCGAAGGAGTGCGAACTTTCCACACAAAGCTTTGTAGGGCCTTGATACTCGGTCCTTGCATTGCTCCGGCGTCCTCTTCCAACTTCGTCCTTCGAATCAGATCATATCCTGATTTAACCGAATAGATTCCTGATTTGGAGTGGTTCCAAGCATAGCCGTCCAAAGTCCGGGAAATACTTGGTCTCAACCCAAGGATGAGGTCTACATCCTCAGGTTAGAAAAAATGTCTGAGAAGCGGGATGTTCCATTGTTTTGATTCCCGGTGAATGAAAGAGTAGACTAATAGGTTAGGGTCGCGGACACCAATCAGCAAGGAAGGTCTCGGCGGTCGGGCCCTCGAGTCCGGGATCCAAGGTTCGCTCCATACCCTTGTATTTAGACCCGATCCAATAGTCTTCCTCAAGCCCATCTTAAGAAAGGGTTTTGCAGCAATAATACTTCGCCACCCGTAGGATGGTGAATATACATTGCGATCTTTCAGGGGGTCTGATTGCCTATAGTATCGACCACGTAGAACTCAAGCCAGGAGGGACGAAGGATACTGAATGAGGCGCCATAGATGTTTAGCTAGAAGAGCAAGGTTGAAGTCCTGTAAGTCTCTGAAACCAAGGCCACCCATGTCATGAGGGGTGCAGATTTTATCCTAGGCTACCCAGTGAATGCCGCCACTGTTCTGCTTGGAGCTCCACCAAAAGTTGGCAATGGCACTCCGCAGTTTATTCGTCACTCCTTGAGGTAATAAAAAACATGACATCATGTAAGTAGGTACCGCTTGCGCTACCGATTTAATTTGAATTTCTTTTCCACCTTTGGAAAGAAGTCTTGCGGACCAATTGTTGACTCGGTTGCTTAGGCGGTCATGTACGAAAGCAAACACTTTCTTTTTGGATCCGCAGATTTGCTATGGAAGTCCAAGATACGTGCCCATGCCCCCTTCCAAAGATATACCAATGGCATTTTTGATGCCTTGTTTTAAGCTGGTATCCACTCTATTCCCAAACATTATGGAAAATTTGCCCAGGTTAAGCTGTTGTCCCGAGGCAGCCCCGTAAGTGTTTATGATTCTAAAAATTTCAGTTCCTTGCTGGACATCCGCTTTGCAGAAAAAGAGACTGTCATCAGCAAACAAAAGGTGTGATACTGGTGGACTTGCTTGGGCTACTTTGAGCCCAGATATTCGTTTCTCTTCTTCAGCTCCTTTGAGGAGTGAGATGAGGGCCTCAGTACACAGGATAAAAAGAAATGGGGAGAGTGGGTCTCCTTGACGTAGGCCTCTAGATGGGTTGATTTTTCCTTTCGGTTCTCCGTTTATCAGGACCTGGTATGAGACTGAGGAGATGCAGAACATCAGAAGTTGAACCCATCTTGCAGAAAATCCAAGCTTTAAGAGAAGGGCTTCCAGGAAATTCCATTCAACCCGGTCATAGGCTTTACTCATGTCTGTCTTGATGGCCTTGAAACTTTCCCTACATGTGTCATTTGTGCGGAGCGCGTGGAAATTCTCTTGTGCCAACAGAATGTTGTCCGTTATAAGACGCCTAGCCATAAAGGCCGATTGGGTTTCAGAAATCAGATTGGGGAGAGTCTTTTTTAGTCTTTTGCACATGAGCTTAGATATGATCTTATAGCTAACATTGCACAGACTGATGGGCCTAAACTCTGTCATCGCTCTGGGCTTCTCTTTTTTGGGTATAAAGCATATATTAGTCTGGTTAAGTCGATAATCAAAGGCTCTCGAAGTAAAGAAATCTCTTACCAATTTCACTATATCATGGCGAAAAACATGCCAGAACTCTTGGTAGAATTTGCTTGTCATCCCATCTGGTCCGGGAGCTTTATCCGGATTTATATCGAAGAGGGCTTCCCTTATTTCTGTTTCTGATGGGTCAAGTAATAGGAGCTGGTTGGAACTAGGTGTAAATTTCTCGGTAATATACCGGAGTGCAATTTCTGGGTCTGAGGGATGGGTCGAGGTGAACAAGTCTTGGAAATATTGGGTCGCCACCCTTTCAACGCCTTTTGCATTTTCCACCCAGGTTCCGTTACTATCTCTTAAGGCTATGATACAGTACCGGCTTCTCCGTTGTTTGGTGAGGGCGTGGAAAAATTTTGTGTTCTTGTCCCCCTCCTTATGCCATCGTTCCCTACTTTTCTGCTGCCAGTAAATTTCTTCTTCGCGAAAAGCTAAGCATAGTTTCCTTCTGATCTCTTCTATTTCCTTTGTTGTTGAATTTTCATCATCTTGGGCCGCGTCGAGTTGATTTTTGAGTTCCTCAATCATCTTCTCCGAGTTAGTAGGGAGAGATTTCTTCCACTTAGATATACTCTTACGACAGTTGGCTACATTCTGATGGAAATCTCGACGTGAAATTCCATCAGAAGAACCCCATCCCGAGATAACCGCCTCTTTAAATCCCAGTTTTCCAAGCCATCTTTTATCGAATCTAAAGGATTTTTTCCGTCTTTGATTATCTAAACGGATCATAGCTAATACCGGCCGGTGATCCGAACCCCATAGTTTAAGGTACTCCACAGTGGTGTGAGAGAATTTAGATTGCCATTCTTTATTTCCAATGGCTCTATCAAGTCGGCATTTAACTTTGCCCGAACGTCGTTTTCCAACCCACGAAGACGAATTCCCTTTGTACGGAAACTCTAACATCCCACAATGATCCAACATGTTCCGGAAGGGAATAAAGGAGGATTCCGGTCTTCTTCGACCACCTCTCTTTTCATGGTTCCCGGTTATCTCGTTAAAGTCTCCTATCATAAACCAAGCTTCTTTTCTAAGGAGACTCATACGAGTGAGACGCTCCCAAACATATTCTCCGTTTTTCACAACCGGATCGCCATAGACGAATGTCATAAAAATTTTATGTCCGTCTAGAGTAGTTTCTATATCAATTAAATGCTCATCTGAGGAAAAAATAGAAACCGCTGGTTCATCCATATAAAAAAGGGCTGGACCGCCGCTTCGACCTCTCGGTTCAACGGTACAAACATGGTTGAGCCAAAATACACTTCTTTAGTGAAACACCCATTGGGCCTGGGGATCTTGGAGTTTGTTTCTTCTTCCCACCCACTTTTCCGGATTTTCCCCCGATGCCGGCGTGATCTGGTGCAGGGGCGGGTTTCACCGGACTGCGCCACCACGATGGTCTCTTTCGCTGCGGTTCCTGCTCCTGGGATTCGGTGGTATCTGGGTTCAGCTTCTTTTTTTCATCATCTGCAAGCTCTTCGCCGAGTAAATCATCAGCTTTGAGTAGCTCCTCCATTTCATCTTCATCATACAAATCGGTATCATCCATCCACTCATCCTCCTCCCCAATACCTTCAACTACCTCAGTTTGGAGGCCTTGCTCAGTCTCGGTTTGATTTCAATTTCCATTGGGTCCTCTTCATTCGCCGAGAGATTTTTTTGTGGACTCCAGATCGTCGACTTGAGGTATGTGAATGAGGAACTCTGATGCATTAACCGGGATTGGGTCTTCCTCCATCAATGAATCTTCCTCTTTTTCTTCCTCCAAGGTCATTTCATACCAGCTTTTTCGAGAGGTTGGAAGAGGAGGGAGATTGATTCTGGGATGAGAGATGTAATGCGGAGGGGAAGAGACAGCTTCTCCTGATTTGGCGTTATCGAAAGTAAGACTCTTCTTAGCGGAACTGGCAGCTTCAGAAGATTCGCCATGTTCAAAGCCGTTCCCTCTCTGAAGACTGCTTGACTTGCTTAGCAAATTTAATTTAAAAGGTCTTGTTCTCTGATGCTCAGGGGACAGATGGATTTGCTCTGCTTTGGAGTTATTCAGGATGAGTGGAGGGTCTGAGACAGTCCTCTAAGAGTCTGGAGACATCTTCCGATTTGGAGGATTGATTCTTTGTTTAACCGAGGATGGATTGGGTACAGGGTTATGCTTGCCATGAGGGTGGGTTTCACGGTGATTGTAAGGAGGTCTGGACTCTTTCTCTTTGTTTTTATTCCCATTTCCCTTTGCTTGCTGCAAATGATTCTTCATACCTACGTTTCCTGTATGCCGTATCAGGAGAAGGAAGATGGCTTCTATCTCGGGATCGAGAGTCAGCGGCGGTATCAGAGCGCCTTTCATAACGGCGAGCTTCAGATTGGTAAGTGTTGTTCTGCTCCAATCTGTTCCACACACTATCAGACCTCTTATCCTCAAAACCTCTGATGTCTCTTTTCTTCTGGTCCATTTTGTCCTCTTTTGTTGTGGTTGTGGTTTGGCGAGATTTCTCCTGCAGGGTTGGTAGTGATCTCCTCTCACGGACTGGAGCTGAAATTTGTCATGCTTGTCGGCGGGCATAGAGGATGTCACGGTCTCTTTCTCTGATCAGATCATCCCTTGCAAGCTGGGCAAGGTTACGCTCAGCCTCTCTCTCCAGCATTTTAGCTATTCTTTCCTCCTCAGATAACAATGGACAGGTCCTTTCATCATGAGATAAGTGTCTGCAGGTAAGGCACCATCTCTCCAATTTTTCATATTTCAAAGTGACTCTCACCACTTCTCCAGATTCTAGACGAGTCCTTGCTGAAAATCTGAGAGGGTTATCTGCATTGAGAGACACTTGGACACTTGCTGCTCTAGCATCCACAGCTGTGACCTCTCCAAGTCTGTTTCCAACAGCTCTGAAGTTTTCCTCCACCCAAAAATGAGTGGGAATGCCAGAGATTCTTACCCAGAAGACCATGTTATTTGGAAAAGAGTCACCAACATGGGGAGTCCATCTTTCCAAGGAGAAAGACCACTTGTTAAAGTGGCATGGCCTCTTGCTTAGAACCCTTTGAAGGTCAGCTTCAAAGTCAAAGTCAAATTGGAACCTGGAGTTGCCCAGATCTATTCCATGGACTCTCCCCTCAACATCCCAGATGTTGGATCTTGGCATGAAAGCTATAAGGGCTTCAGTGCTTCTTATATCCTGGTTGAACATCCGTCCAACAAGGCTCCGGCTGAATCTTGCGATGAGGTGCGAGTTGTCTACATGAGGCAGATCGATAATGTCGTCTTCATCTTCTGAAATGTTTGCTAGCTTTTTGTTTGGTGAAGTCATGGCCTGCAGTGGTGGTTGTAGAGGTAGATTAACGCAGAGGCAGTAGAAGTGACGGCTGAGGAAAGGTTAAGGAGTGTTGAAAAGTCGCTTGGTGATACACGGACGAAAAAGCTTCCAAGTAATGAAAAAACTTCCCAGTTGGGAGATGTCTTCAAGCAGAGTAGAAGGTTGTGAGTGGAAGTATCATAGCACAGGGCTAGAAGGCAAAAGAGCGCGAACAGGTATGCAATTTTCTTCCATAAAGAAGACGGCTTCTTGAAGGGTCTTCATGTGTAGTAAGGGTTCCATAGCCTGAAAAAGGTCTTCAAATGAATTATAGGTTGGGGGGGAATCTCAAAGGAAGGCCTCGCAGACATGTGTATGACAGAGAAGAATCGGTTTTGGGAGAAAACTGAGAATTCCGGTGAAAAGATTAGCCTTAACCATGGTGGTTTCCAGGCAGAAATGGGAAGCAGAGTGGTGAGTTAGTTATTTCAGGTAAAAGATTAGGGTTGAGTGAGGGGGAAAGTAGATCTGAATACATTTTGGGTAATCATTGGGAGTAGTGTCTGGGAGCGTTTTTTTGGACCTCAAGAAGGTGTTTTACCCAACTCTCTTATTGGTTTTGGTTTTGGTTTTGGCCGAGGTAAGTGATTTCAGAGGATACTGAAAAATTGGTGAAAATGTTTCCAAAATATTCGATAAGGCTTCCTAAATTCTTAATTTCTGGAATGGTTTAATAAGTTTTAAAATGTTTTAGGAAATATTTACTACATTTAAGGAAAGCCATTTTCATTGAAGATCAAGTTTAATTACAACAAAACAATACTGGATTATATACAAATCGTTTTATGTAACCAACTTGACAAAACGACACAACACAAACATAAGACGAAAATCTCTTCACAATTGAATCCTTTGATTAATCTTCTTCTTCTCACTTCAAGTTTTTTTCTTTGTTGCAGACTTGAATGACTTCGAATCTGTTCCTTCTAATATAAGCCAATTCATAAAAGCATACAAATACAAACTAATTCAGAGCAACCAAATATAAATCAATTTAGTGCAACCAAAATGCAAACTTATTCATAAAAGCAAACAGAGTTTTCACATAAAAAAAGACAGAATTTGTAATAGCACAAATAGAGTTTTTCTTGCTCCAGCGTGCATAAACGCACACATAGAGCACATATAGAGTTTTAGGAAAAGCAGAGATAGAATTTTCATAAAAAACGACTTCAATAACTGAACATAAGCCAAATATAAAGGAAAATTCTTTTCAGGCTCCAGCATGCTCCATAGTCCATGCATGAGCAGTTGCATCAAAAGCGGCATTGTCTTCCACGTAGAGTTTGGTTATGTTTTCATCAAAGTAGTCTCCTTCACTTATTTCTGGTGTAGTTAAAATCTCGTGAATTTCAGTGAGGATCCGATATCATCGAATTTTAAAAACAAATTAGCAAAAGACAAAACGATTCATATTTTTCATAAACCAATAATGAGAATAGGTAAAATTATTACTCGATTCATGATATACATGGGCGAGAAGTATTCATTTGTCAACATCTTAAGAAATATTTTCCCATAAACACTCACGTTTGGGTGAAATACTTTTGTTTTGAACGTGACCTGCAAAAACATCGTGTTTTTAGGAATCTTTTCAGAGTTTTAGGAATCTAAAACTATTGTTTAGGAAACCCTTACTAAAAACACGATTTGAGAACCCTTTCAACTATCAAATCCCTAATCATACATTTGGTGGCTTGAACGGGTAATCTGGAGGTAAGTGCATGTTGATTTTGAAAACCCATTCTCATAACGCGAACCTTTGGGCCCCATTAGCATAACCTGCCAGTGATACAAGTCTCCATCCACCGGTCTTAATCAAATCGGCAAAATACAAATTAGTAGTCTCTTGCAGAAGACGAGTTCATGCAGTACAACAAAACTGTAATACTTATTCGAAATACAGAAACAAAATACCTGTACTGAAGAGCACACTTTTTACCCTCTCAACTTCCTAAACTGCATCGAGATGATTTTCAAAGCATACATTTTCAGGAAGAACGAAGATGGAAGTTTTTTTTTGTGTGTGCGAAGATGGTTCTTATGAAGGAGGATGAGACGTCTTCTATAGAGGAGGAGAGGGAGTCGGTTTTCAGAGAGGAGGAAGAGTCGGTCAAAGGTGTCTCGTAAATCGGGTTTTCGAAAAATTGTGTGTTTTCAAAAAGGTAATTAATTGAATTTTGACTGCACCGTTTCCCTGTGAAGTCATGTCTTAGTCGTGTCGTTTCATTGGTAACTTTCAGAGACACGATCATGGGTAGTTTTGAACTTTTACTTTTGTATAGAACCTATGTCTTATAGATATTAACGTATGAGAAGCTTGATTTAGTATACATTTCCTGATTTGTATGAGAACTTCCTAAATTATAAATTTCTTGATTGGTTTAGTAAGTTTCTCGAGCACTTTAGTAGGTCTTTATACATTTTTAGGAATCACTTTCTAAATTTTGTAAATGAATTATGAAGTTTAGGGTTTATGAAGTTTTAATGGTTTATGAAGTTTGATTTCATTTGATTTTATATGCGAGCTGTCAGCCTAATGTTTTATGAAGTTATTTTAACATTTTTAAGAAGCTTTGATAAAGGGTTAGTAAATTTTTTGAAACACTTTAGTAAGTGATGGGCTTGCGGGGCTAGGGTTGTTTTTTAACAAGCCCGTTGGTCCTGCAAAAGCTTTAAATTTATAAAACCCTAGTGTTTGCAAGTGCACAAATGTACGTTGTAGGACTTAGGGTGTCGATCCACAGGGACGATGTCTAATCTGCAAGAAACAACAAACTGGGAAGTAAGCAAAATCATAAACCAATAAAAGATTAAGGTTTTTGGTTAAGATCCTAAACTAAACCTAATCTAGTATTCACAAGAAATGCAATGCAGGATGAATTGTTAAAAGAACATCTAAAGCATATCGATTCAATCTAAAGACTCTTGAACTCATAGGTGGCGATCTAGACTTCTCCGGGTTACTCTAATCAATGTATGATGGCATTTCTAATTAGCTTCCGGGCGATTTATCTTCATCTGTTTCTGGGAGCCTGCTTTGAACTAGAATAAACACATGTATGATTAACCAACTGTCATCACCTTAATCAACTAATCTCTTAGATCTAGCTATTAACTCTCGCTCTCATGCTAAACTTAAGTTCATGCATTGGACACTGAATTCGTCTGCTCACATCTTCTCTATAGGTAGCTTTCGACTCCTATAGCGACTATGTTCTTCTGAAGCTAGGTATGGATGATCTGATACAGCACTCTCGTGGCTCTGATCGATCCTAGGCTCAGAGAATAGGTCATGAATATACTCTCATACTTTACGGATAACTTAGAAGAGATGAGATCCAGAATATGGCTAAGAATAATAGAAATCCTAATCGATATAAATGCTTGTCGATATCTTCAAACAACTTGACTTTCTGGGACTAATCTACATGATGCAATGAATGATAAAAGACATAGAAGAATGCAAAAGAATGAAACAGAAAAGTTAATAAGATAAAAAGGAGGAAGAACAATGGATCTGGGGAAGAATCCCCATCTCCATCGCCTAACCCTAGAAAAACAGAGTTTGGTGGCTCAAAATCTCATTACAGGAGCACACACCCGTTTAGGGCTGCTAAACAATGTATTTATAGGGGCTAAGGTCTTCCAGGTCTCATTTAAGGCTTCTCTGAAGAGAAATGACGAAGTGGGCTTTGATGTTGGGCCTTGTGGCTCGTCCTAAGGTCCACCGGGGGTGAGAGTCTTCCAGGGCAGGTAAAACATGTGTTTCCCGCGGGTGAGAATCTTCTAGAACTGGTGAACTTGGTCAACTTGTTCTCCATGTATCTTTTGATTTCACCTGATCTTTGTGATGTAAAGTGCTATGGAAAGCTGGTTGTCTCCTCTTGATTGTCTCCAAATTTGAGCTGGATTGGAAGGTGAGAAAGTCTTCATTTGAGGCTGAACTTTGGACAGTTTGACTCTGAGCTAAAAATGTGGATTTTTTCCATTTTGCCATCATATTCCCTACGTTTCCTGAGAAGAGCCTTGAAACTACAAATACATGGAAATCATAATAAAAGTTCCTAAAACAAAGCAAAACCTTTGAAAAAGCATTTGAAATCAATGGTGAAAAGTGGTCAAAATCAGGTGTTATCAGTAAGCTTTTATAAAGTTTATGATTAATCATTTTTAGTTATTAGGACAAGTATTGACTAGACTCAGCCAAATGTCTTAGATTCAAATTACTTATAAGAAGAGTATTAAGGAAATAGATAAAAATACAACTAGAATACTTGAGCAGTGTTATATTTATATGATGTGCTTTCCAATCCTTCAGCCATCTGGAGTAAGTCTTCAGCCTGCACTATCATTGAGGCCAAAATGTAGAACGCCAAAATAAGGCTTTACTAATCCCAAACAAGACAACGTGATAAGAAGGTTTACAAAAAAAAAAGGTTAAATCCAAACGCATAACACAATCCCAGAAGATGTTCCTAAATCTGATAAAACACATCCTGAAAATGTTCCTCAAAGCTCTATAGGACAGAATTCCTCATATAGCTCGCATGAAAACTTTGTTCGGATGTCATGTGCATTACCATCCTCAAGCTTTGTCATGTCTTGAATGCCCATAGAATGGCATTCGAGAATCTTCAAGACAAATAGAGCTGAGTTCGCAGGAAGATTGGTCTTCAGGATGTTTTTACTGATAATTCTTCAATTTTATAAAGAACCATGTCCTCATCCATCACTGTTCTATTTGCAGTAACACACAGCAGAACAGGAACCATCTCTACACCAAAAATATCACATTTTGTTCAATCAATAGAAGAAAAATAGAATCAAAGGAAAACAATATTAATATAAAGTAGCTAGATTTTTTATACCTACGAATTCCTTCACTTAGTTCATGATAAGATTGATGTTGTCAGAAGGGAGCCCAGACCTTACAACAGTGATATGTCTCTTCT